CCTACCGGGCCGCCCGGGCGGGCGGGCGGGCGGAGCAGCGCTCTGGGCTCCACGGAGCGGCGGGGCCGGGCCGGACCGGGCCGGGCGGGGGAAGGCTGAAGCCCGGCCCGGCTCCTCCAGCCCGGGGAGCGAATGGCCGCATCCCGCCGTGTCCGACGCTGAGGGAAGAAGCTACTGTTTCACAACGAAGTGCCAATAAGCAAAAGAGGCTGAAACGTTCTGCTTGTGCTCCGGCAGGTTCGGGAAACCGTGAAATATCCGGAGCCGGGATTTTATATGCTTTTAGAGGAAACAACAGTAAACGGAAAGTTAATTGCTTTTTCTGTTTATTTTTTGCACGTAGTCAGAAGATAGACAGAAATTTGGAGTTATGCGGTTAGATTTAAGAAATGTAGTATTACAAGGGCAGGTAGTGATAGGATGAGGGGTAATTGCTTCAAACTGGAAGAGGGTAGATCTAGATTAGATAGTTGCAAGAAGTTTTTCACTCAGGATGGTGAAGTGCTGGAACAGGTTGCCCAGAGAAGCTGTGGATGCCCCATCCCTGGAGGTGTTCAAGGCCAGGCTGGATGGGGCTTTGGGCAACCTGCTCTGGTGGGAGGTGACCCTGACCATGGCAGGGGGGCTGTAACTCGCTGATCTTTAATGGCCCTTCCAACCTAAACCATCCTATGATTTTAATTTGCAGAGAACAGTCATATCCTTTGTTAGACCAGTTAAATTTCACAGAAAGCTGTGTCAAAACATAGAGCAGGCTTAAAAACATGCAAGCAGCCCCTTCTCCCTGACCACGTGTTAAAAAGCAAGCAAACAAGAACATCATCACCATCCCCCAGAGGGTAAGCCAAAACCTTTGATCTGGACCGACTACATAAAACTTGTAGCCTAAAAAGAATATTCTTGAGAAAGATGCCAAGAGGTAGGTAGAACTCATAAGCTATGTTCTTTAACAAGGTAATGTTACTTTCCAATCATAAAAGTGTCTGTTATGAGACCCTGTTAAGAAGTCTTACTCTGACAAGAATTTCACAAGAGCAGTGGTATATCTGGCCCATTCTCACTGGTTGGGCCCTGCACAACAGCCGTCAGGAAGGTTACAGAGTTGAGCTGTGATGATAACAACTAAGGTTGTATTAGGGATGCCAAATGGCAAAAGTGAAGTAACTTTCAGTAAAGTTATATAGTGATTGAGTGACAAAGAGGAGCGGGTGCCAGGTCTCTAGAGGTGTCTTTCATTTGGTTGCGTTTGTGAATTCCTCCACAATTTTTCAGAAAAAAAAAATTATAAAAATGGTCGAGATGTGTGGGAAATCAAGAGGAAGGTTAAGTGACTTATGCGTGGTTATAAGTCAAGGCAGGAATATTAGAAACAGGAACAAGATCTGTTTCCCCACTAGCTTTATTTTCTTTTTGCTGCCCTGCTCTGTGTTTGGGATGGTTGCTAGCAGTTGCATCAGGGTGTTGTGACCAAATCTAAGCACGTGCCATGGTGAGGATCATGGGGGCTCTAGGGTGAAACTGCGTAGTGTACACATGGAACCGAGTGACCAAAGTTGAGAATTGTAATAGTTTATCTCCTGTGAATAACTTATTGCTTAAAAAAGATAGACTTCATACTATAGTATGAAGGTTCATACTATAGTATAGGCAGGTTTATGCCTGTTCTTACTGTCTGTAGTAGGGATATTTTCAAGGTTGAGTGAAGTGCAGTTGTGTACTGAGCCAGGTAGAGATTTCCAGATGAAAATGCTTAGTGGTGTATATATTACATATTTTTTAATGGCTGTGCTTTGTAGTACTGCTTCGTAAACTTTATATACAAAATGTATGATTGTATTTTCATTTTTTAATAGGTCTGGGACAAAAGTGAAAATGGGGATTGGCATTGCACTGCCAGCTGGAAGGTTTGTATTTATAACAATCACACAGTTATAATTTCTGCAGAAACATACTTAGCTTTTGCTGACTTGTAGAGTAGAAATACTTTTGGTTTGTTGTAGATCTCATACTTGTTATGGTAAAACACCTTTTCTCTGCTTTTATAAAACGTGTAATGCCGCTCACTTAAAGCAGAGGCTTGCATGCAGTTCTTAGATTATTAGTACTTGGTTATGCTGGCAGACTTTGTTATCAGTAAACATAGCAGTAACTGGTGTTTAGGGAGTTGGAAAACAGCACCTTCGTTTTTAATTAAATATTTCCTTTTTTGCCTATTGTAAGACTTTGGGGGGGTCGGGCTGAGAAAGGAGAACTAAAAGAAAAAGGAAGAGGTCTGGATATAAAATGTTCCAACATTTGACCTCTGTTTGGTGGTTTTTGTTTTTTCCTCAAAAGCTGTCTGAGAACCGTGTTATATAGAGACTCTGCTTCATCTGAATAATTAGCGCATTCAGCTGCTGAATTGTCCTTAAACTTGTGTTTAATAGGACCACAATACAATAATCCCTGTAAATGGAAACACAAGTGAAGCTTTTGAATTCCCCTTCTCTAAGAAAAGAAGCATTAGGTTGACTAGTTATGAAAGAGGAGTTTAATATGAAAAAAAGAAGGTAAGTAATGCTCTGCATATGCTTTGGACAAGTACAGGCAAGCTAGGAGGGAACAGGGTAACGGCTGAAAATTGAAAACCAAGCTGTACTTTTTCTCTCAAGGCAGAATCTTAGATTGGAACTTACAGTGTAAAGAATAATAAATAATGCCTTAAAGTACACTTGTAAGAAGTACTTTTTAGCCATTAACTAGTAACAACAAATCTTTGCAGGGCTTGTAGGAATAAACAAATGCAACAGCTGGTGTATTACTTTGAGCTTTTAGAAAACAAAATGGGTTTCAAAGGAATAGTCTTCTCACTTCCTAGAATTTACTTCTGCAGAAAGTCATGAAAATGTATGATCGCTTGGACTGATACAGCAAGTATATTTTTGTATCGTGTTTTGGTGTTATCTTGCAGACACATAGTGGATCTGTGTGGCGTGTGACATGGGCCCATCCTGAATTTGGGCAGGTCTTGGCTTCCTGCTCTTTTGATAGAACAGCAGCTGTATGGGAAGAAATAGTGGGAGAGTCAAATGATAAACTCCGAGGCCAGAGTCACTGGGTGAGGCTTTAACATGTTAATTACAGTTTCTGTATGTTCTCATATAAACAGATTCACTGTGCCTCGTTGGTGTGTTTGCTTATCGTAATGACCGAAGCTTTAAACTGTTTAAATTTCAGAATTAAGCAGAAGACTGAACATGCATATTGTTCTAAATACCAAGTTACTGGACACTTCTGGTTTTGCAATGTATTTTCTATTCCTGAAGCGGGAAAAGCACCCCGTTTTCTTCTGTTAATATAAAGTGTTCCTTTTGCCTATGTTTTGTTAATTTGTGGCAATATTCCAATGTTAAGTATTTTTAAAGCATTTGAGGAAAACAGCTAAATAGGAACATTCAGGCCACTGCTATTAATTCAATTGCAATCAATCAATTACAGTTAACTCAGGCCACTCCTTTTGGTGTTTCTTAATAAGATATTCCTTGGCCAGCAACTCACAGACATGAATTCCCATCTACAGGAGAATTAAAGTTGTGGGGTTTTTCTTTTGTGACAAGAGCTCATTTACAACTGTCTCATGCTGTTCTTTTTTGTTTTTCAAACAATAGATCAGGTTTGGGGGGAGAATAGTTTGCTCAGAAGTATATTTTCTGGGTAGCCTTTCATCAAGGGACTTTTAGATCTAAACATTATTTTGCAGCTATTCTTTATGTGTAATCTTACATAACTCAGTATACTTGCCTCTAAAGTTTTATTTTTGTTTTGGTTGCTAAAATATCTGCAGTTTTCTACTTTTGCCTAAAGTTTTCTAACATTAAAATACATAATTATGAAGAGTTGGGTTGTCAGGATCTTAGGCACCCAGTGGCATACGAAAGCTGACTTCTGTATGCAGGAGGCAGTTGTGATGCATAGTTTTCAGTTCAAACTCATGCTTTCTTGGTAGGAGAGGAGACAACCTGAAAAGCAAATATTAACAATTTTTTCCTCTTTCACCTTGGTGAATCTTCTTATCAAATGGCTGCTGTATTCACTCATTCCTTTGTCAGAAATACTTGTTTTGATGTTTTTGTTGGAAAATGCTTGGTGATAAACTTCAGCAGCACTGAAAGTAGAAAGTGGAGTTGCTGGGCATTGCAGCTAATAGTCACCTGTATGAATGAAGAGGCTGGTTTCAAACAGCCTGTAGCCAGTACTCTTGTATTTTATGCTTATGCTACATGTTGGTTTTTTTTTTTCTTTTCTGAAGAGCATAATCTAAACAACTCTTTTTGGTCTTTTTGGTATCAAAGCTTTGATACCACGGTGAGTATATCTCTTGATGTTCAAAAGTGCAGTGATCTGTCGTTTCTCCAATTCATTCATGTATAAAGAGACTTTATTTAAGTTTTTGATGGAGGAGGTAAGTGATCCTATGAAACGGTGTTGTCACACTTCCATTAGCCTTCCTTAGGGAATACATTTTTGATGAAATTTTCTAGCATTTCCTTAAAGGATTACTGCCTTTCTTTGCAGGTAAAAAGGACCACTCTGGTAGACAGTAGGACATCTGTTACCGATGTGAAGTTTGCTCCCAAGCATATGGGTCTTATGTTAGCGACCTGTTCAGCGGATGGAGTTGTAAGGATTTATGAAGCTCCAGATGTGATGAATCTCAGTCAGTGGTCACTGCAGCATGAAATCTCATGTAAGCTAAGCTGCAGTTGTATTTCTTGGAATCCCTCAAGGTATGTTACTAAAACTGTAGGTTTTGCTTTATGACTGTTTAAGCAGAAGATCCAGAGAGTTAGTTCTGAAATTCTGTAGAATATATCCTAAAACATACATAAGAGAAAGCACTTAAAAAGAGACACTTCCTTGTCTCTTCTTTCCTTAAGTAAGATGTTGCAATAGGTGATAATTTTGACTGCTCTAACAAGGACAATGCACCCTTGCCAGTGCAAGAGTACTAGGAACCACAAGAGTCTCCCTAGCACAAATACAAAGCCCAAGAGTTGTTCTTTTAGTTATACCCTCGGGGGCCCAGTGATACACTTCAATCTACTTGAACAGGAAGGAATCAGAGAGGAGTTTGGTTGGGTAGTCCCCACCCAGAAGAACACACACAAGGAGAGGTTCTCCTACGCTTCACATCTCACGTCCTCCTCCAGCAATAACAGGAAGGCAAAAACCATTCAGGGCTGAACTGTTTTAAATTTTGTTTGTCCAGAAGCACTTAACGGCTTTCCCTATAGATGTAGTGGTCCGTGTGTCCTGCTGATCCAGTTATTCTATTAATTAGTAGTAGTCTGCACTGGAGGCTCAGAATACAGGCTTTCACTGTATTCACTTTAATGCATCATATGGGGTTAAAAGTTGATTTAAAAAGTAGAACTTGTCTATATTTAGCTTTTGTAATCTGTCTTCCAAAACCTGAATGAAATACCACTGAATCATTAAATGTACTGCAAAGAATGCAGACTCTGCCATGAAACTTGTGGCAAATACTTGAATGGTCATGGGTATATAAAATCAATCCTACTCTCTGGAAGCATCATCTTGAGTTGCCAAATAATGTTCCCTGGTGATTTCATCTTAGTGGCTGCATAAAGTGGACTTCCCAAACAATAGAATGGAGATTGTACTGTTAACTGTGAATGACCTTACTCGTGTTTCCTTGTGATTGGTTTTTTCCCTTGTGATATTTTTTTGTTAGTGTTTTGTTTTCTATATAGATAATGTGTCTGAAATTTAAGAAATGGCTTGGTGTACTTTCTGTGGAATTGTTTGTAAATACAACAATATTTATTTTCACCTTTTAGCTCTCGAGCACATTCTCCAATGATCGCTGTAGGAAGTGATGACAACAGTCCAAATATATTGGCTAAGGTTCAAATTTATGAATATAATGAAAATACAAGGTATGCTAAATGACAATATATAACATTTGTGGATCTTAAAATAGTTTGTAACATATGTCTCTTATTTTATTCCTGTTATTAGATGTGGAGTGGAGTAGTAAATATTAATACCTTAATTCTGTCTCTGAGCCATTCGATTGGAAAGGAGAGGGAGACCAGAACAGTGACTGATGTTAACAGACATGATACTGATAATATTGTTCTATCTCAGTGCAGAAATGTCAGTGTTCTTATCAGCCTTTTAAAAGGAGAGTTGTTCCTGCTTCTACTAATTGGTATGTTTAATTTTGCACAAGGAATCAGTAGGGCAAAGTTGGATTTTGAATTGTGTTGGACTAGGCACTGTTTGGTTCAAGGCGACCTTGAAATGCTTTTGAAAGCATGTTTATAATGACAGAAGGTCCCATGAATTATTTGCATTCCTTAAAATTTGAGTTTGTACAGTTAAGAATTCAGCACCAGAAAAGGCCAGGGAGTGCGTGCACAACCACTTTCAATTAAATGACAACAGTGAACTTCCATTTCATTCAGGGTAATTGCTGTGGGAAAGGAGCCGAGGTGTTTTGTGGATTTATGTCAGGCTTCAGACAATGTTTTCTGTGCATTAACAATAAAGAAAAGCAGCTATAGCTTATCTGGTGGTATATAGAAAATGGCATACGTGTTTATCATACAGAGGAGGTGGCAGATATCGGCCTGCTTACAAGCACTAAAAAGTGATACATAAATTCCCTTTAGATTTGTGAGTGGAAGATTGTTTTTATTTCCCTCTTCCAACTGTAGACAAAATGTTCTTTGTACTGCAGCTTGTAATTATTACTTTAAGTTATGAAAATAGTTTTATTTTAGCAAGTTTCATCATGTATACTAACCCTTTTTTTTGCTATTCTACTATGACTGGCTTATATAGTTCACATCACTAGCAATTTTGATGGCACTAAAGGATAATTTGTTACTCTGTACAGGAAATATGCGAAAGCAGAAGCTCTGATGACAGTCACAGATCCTGTACATGATATTGCATTTGCTCCAAATCTTGGAAGATCCTTCCACATCTTAGCTGTAGCAACCAAAGATGTACGAATTTTCACACTAAAACCTCTAAGGTGAGCTTAAAAGGAATATAGTTTGGTATGATGTGGTGCATACTATGAAGTATTATTTTAATAGTATCTGCAAAGCAATAGTAGTAACTTGAGGTATGCAGAATTGCTTTTTAGCAGCCTGACGACAAGATTGTGAGCAAGTCTATACCTTTGTCTGAATACCTCCTAATACTCTATTAACAATTTTTATATAAACTCATTGAAAAATGTAGTTCTCTCTCTTTGTCATCATGTTCAAGCCCAGACCTTTGAACAGTTGTGTGCAAAATTGTCACTTTCTCTTAAACAGGAAAGAATTGACTTCATCTGGAGGATTAACAAAATTTGAAATTCATATTGTCGCCCAGTTTGATAATCACAACTCCCAAGTGTGGCGAGTAAGCTGGAATATCACAGGCACAGTGCTAGCCTCCTCTGGTGATGATGGCTGCGTTAGGCTCTGGAAGGGTAAGGTCACCCACCTGAAATACATTAGCTTTTTAGTGTGCTGAATATACTTGAGGAATTTTACTCAACAAATAATTTTAGAGTAAAAGTTCATTTTAGGTTTGGGAGGAAGGGAAGGCCTTCAGGGGTCCAGCACCAGAGCAAGAAGGTCTCTGGACCGCCACCATCAAGGGAGAGAGAGCTATGCAGCAAACTTTTCTAGTTTATATTGAATGTGATGTTCCTCGTATGAAATAATCCTTTTGACCAGGCTGGGTCAAGTGACCAGGTCTTGCTCCTCCTCATCCCTGCACCTGGCAAGACTCAAAAATACCGAGACCTTGAATCCCACATAACCTATCTGGCTATAAAGTAAATATTTTCATTAATTCAGCCACTAGAGTCCTCCAAAAGTGCAATTTTCCCAAGCATTAGAAGAGACATTAGTCCTGTACTGCTCCTGTGCTAGAACACTTGCATGTTTTAGGCTGCTGTGAACAGTTATTACTGTACCCTCAAATTGTTTCACCAGACTAGAGTTATGTAAAGTTGTAATTTTTAAAATTAACATACGTGCTGCATTACTATCTTTGCCTGCTGCCAAACCCAGAAAATCTACATTCAGTCACAACGTTCAGGCAAACTGGTTTTTTCTCTGTTTAAATTTCTAAAAGCAACAACAAAAAAAAACCCTGACAGTTTCCTCATTGTTCTTATTTGTTCCTCAGTATTTTAATAAAAGAAACTAATTTTTGCTACTGAACAAAACTGAGTTTTAAATCGTGCATAGGCAGAGAATGTCAGACATCTAAAGGGCCAGATCCTCAGCTGTTTGGAATTTATATATTGGTATTGAAGTTCAATTTTAATTCTCAGCAGGTGTGTAGCAGTTGACACATAATAGTTATATCAAATGCTGAGCTTGAGAAGAGAAACTAACAGGTTTTATATATCTATATTTGCAGCTAATTACATGGACAACTGGAAGTGTACTGGTATACTGAAAGGTAACGGGAGTCCTGTGAATGGTAGTTCTCAGCAGGGAATTTTTAATGCCTCTCTAGGTTCAGCCAATACAAGCCTACAGAATTCACTAAATGGATCGTCTGCCAGCAGGTAGGTTAATTAGTGGAAAGACTGAATTTCAGTCTCTTTTCTGAATCTTCTTAATGTCACTCAGCTTTCATGTTTGTTCTATAACTTTTTGTGAGGTGCAATGTAGTTTATTGCATGAATGCTTCTACAGACTTTTCTAGTTTTGCTCTGTGATGGTGTCTGTTAAACCAGTGTTTAGAGGAAAATGAAGAAAACAGTAAGCTGTACTGAATCATTCTGTATAAATAAGCGCTGTAAACAACTATTTTCACTTTTAGTCCTTCCACATTATTAAAAATATTTTTTCTGAAGTAGTTTCAGACAAGGAGAAGCTTCATCATACTGTTGTGTAATTGCCCTTTGGTTTTAGATGCATACTTAAAAGCGAAGTAAACAAATTCTGCAAACAAAGCCAGCAACGAATTCTGTTTTTCATTGGGATAATGTAGCAGAAGAGAGGGAGAAAAAGATACTTCATAATGTATGGTTTCAACAGTCATACACTAGTGTTAGTTTACTTGCATTTTTGCGGGTGTAACACAATTGAGTAAAAGTTTCGGGTTTTTAATCTTCCTCATATGGCGTTCTTGTAGCAGATTAATTTGCTTTCTCTGTTAAGTTTTTATTCTGTAGTAATTGCTGTTCAGTAGGTAAATTTAACTGCCTCTTCTGGAAACCATTTTATTTTGCGCACACCGAAATCTAGAAATACACTGAGTCCTGCATTTGTACCATGGAGTGTACAGTCAGCTCAACAGGATGTGTCCTATGTAAGGACTAGATGTGGCCAAATTCCATAGCAGCAGCTTCCAAGTTTTGTGGCCACCTTTACTGCTTTTCAAAATAGCCTCCATTTCCATCCACATGCAGCTACTAGTATGTTTGGGTTTTTTTCAGTTTAAAATGCTCATCTGTAAAGTACTATGACAGTTTGGTTTTGGAGAGCAGCCTTCGCCCTCCGTCCCCTTAGGCAGTCAGTCCTGAATGGCAGTTCCGGCTTCCCAATCCCTAACTGTGTTGAACAGAGAAGGGCTTCCACATTTTCCTCACAACATAAATGGGAGAGGTGGTAATGGGCCAAGTCTCCAGCAAGAAAGGAGGCCAAAATGATACTGATCATCTGGTTCCAGGTGCTACTTAGAGCGTAGCAAAAAAATGCCGAAATACAGTTCTGTCTCGGAAATGTGATCACAGAATCACAGAATGATATGGGGTTGGAAGGGACATCTGGAGATCATCTAGTCCAACCCCCTTGCCAAAGCAGGTCCTCCTAGAGCAGGTTGCACAGGAACGTGTCCAGGCAGGTTTTGAATGTCTCCAGAGAAGGAGACTTCACCGGCTCTCTGGGCAGCCTGGATATAACTGCATGTGCTTGGGCTCCTATAGGGAGATATAGGCTATTTTATACTGCTGTAGCATAGGGTGTGGTTTCACAGTCGTCTTATCCAAGACTGGCTGCTGCCAGCAAGACTACCCGACCCTGTTGGTTGTTCTCCTCTCCCTGAAGTTTGTAGTAAGCCCCTGTGAAACTGAAACTTCTAACATTATTTTAGACTCCCTCCATTGCTCTGTATTTTAAAAAATGGGGTTTTGTTTTTAGTAAGTTATTCTCAGCTCCAATATGGAATTGGTGTTTTGTTACAGAATTAAGTCTGTGGAATTGCAAAGTACATGGTGTCTTGTCCTAGGATTGAGACTTACTATAAAACAGATGCACTTAACTACATGTTTTCTTTTGTAATCACATTGCATTAGCACAGTTCTCTAACTTTTGTTTTAGTGTATTAACACTTAGAATAAAGATTTCTGTACTGACATTAGACTACATTGGTACACTACACAATTTATTTTGTCTGTGACTGTAGATGTTATGTTTCAGTGTCTATACATTAAAATGCTTAAAAGAGCTAAAGTATAGCTAGATCTGGAAAAGTTTGTTAAAGCACGATCACCAAACTGGATTTGTACTCAAAATAGTTTCAGAACAGATGATGTACATTGTTGGACAATAAGTCAATAGGGCTTTATTGTTATGTTTATGTAATTGTGTGTCTCGATTTATGATGCAATTTCCATTCTCCATTTGTATTATGTCCTTTTTAACAGAAAGCAGAGCTGATACCAAGCTAACTGGAGTAACTTTGGTGTTTTGCTGCTTGTTGCATGCACACAGGAATGGAAAACGAACTCCTTTTTCCCCTCCCCAGCGCCGTTTGACCTCTCCCGAGACACCAGCAGCCTGCTAACTACTAAATGCTATTCAAAAAGCCTTTTTAAAACACGTTGTGTACGTTTTTGGTACTATCCCGCACAGTTTGATACTGTTGGAACTCCTGATAGAAAAATACTTGGAGAGGCTTCTTGTTTGGAAAAAAAACCAACCAAACACAAATAAGCAACCCAAACCCCAAAACTTCCCATCAAAAGATTTTTTTTTTTTTTGAAAGCTTGTCAAATTAAAAGACTAGTTCATGACTAACAATGAGAATTTTTGTCCTTGATTGGGATGGGAGGAGGGAAATGGCCATTAAAATAATTTTCATTGAAATTATTTTGGTAACTAATTTGTTTTGCGTTTCATAGTGTTCAGTATTTGATCAAGATTCCTAAACATCACAAGTTTGTAACTGCTTTGTAATATATGAAACTGTTTTAAAGGAATAAGAAAACTGTGTTTTGACAATTGTACAGATGATAGCTTTTAATAGTTTGGTATGGCTTCATTTATACCTTGGTATGACTTCAAATAAATGTTTTGTAAGTACTGTCATACTTTCTTCATCCTAAGAGAAGTACTTTTTCTGATATGTACTTGTACATTCCTATGGTAGTAATTCCATGGAGTAACTAAAATTCTCTAAGCATAGTATCCTAAAAAATGCAAACATTTGAGCCATAGAAAGACTGAAACCAAAATGCATCTTGTGAATTGCCCTATAATTTCTTTAGTTGTATAGCTGTTCCTTTATGTAAGTCCACAGAACTGTAAACAAGACAGAAAACATCTGTAGGTATCTGATATAGTTACACTAAAATGCACAAATATTACGGGTAAGTTCTAATAAAAACATCACTAAAATGACACAAAATGGCATAATTCTGAGTCTTGCATTCACCAGGAATCTTAAATTTACTCTGAGGGTAAGATGTAAATATATGCAAAGACTGTATTTCATTGAAAGTAGTTAATCTCTGTAAATGTGTATTATTAAATTTATTGTAAAAACAGTGATGTTTTTACATCTATTCTAGAGGTGCTGTGAAGTCAATCTGAATTAGATGCATATGCAGAAAATGTACTTGGATAATATTTAATGTATATTTTGTGTCACAAATGAAGCGTTACTAAAAGCTCTGTTAACAAATGGCAGGAGTTCTGGGAGAATGAAAGCCTGTTAATAGCTGTGCTACAACATCCTTTTGATTTCCAAAGCAATCTGTTCTTTTGTAAAAATGTATTCTAGGATTATTATTATGGTATTCTTTTCTATGAACCTCAGTGGAAAAGACTGTATTATTTTCTTTTAAAGAACAGTTTCCGGATTTGTCTTGTTTTGAATTACAAGCCCTGATTTCTGCTATTATGTTCTATTGGTTTTGGCATGGATATACTAAAGCCTTTTTATTTTTTCCAGCATGTCTTTTCTCCCCTTTGGTTCTCCTTGTATTTACTACCTTTCTCTTTTTCTTTTTTTTTTTTTTTTGTTTGTTTTGGTTTTTTGTTTTGTTTTGATTTGTTTTTTTTGTTTTGTTTTGGTGTTTTGTTCCTTTCTTAATTGTTTCAGGTATTTCTTTCCCCCTCTGGATTCCCCACGGGCTGGATCGAGATGGTCCAGCCATGCCCAGCTCCTTCCTCCTCCTCCTCTGATAGAGCACTCTTGCGATGCTGACACTGCCAACCTCCAGTATCCTCACCCTCGCAGACGATGTGTATCTCGGCCTCTTAATCTATTACCTGAGAATGAAGGGGTTTAACATGTTACTTTATTAAATAAACTCTGAAGGGCCTTATTCTGCTGTTTGTGAATGCTTCCATTTCTGGCTGCCTTTGTATTTCTTCTCTTGTATGGAAGATTTTAAAAAATTTGGGAACTTCATGCATGTTTTACAGAACAAACGATACCATTTGGAACATGTTTTTTATGTTTGTGTTTCAAAGGAACATTTTAACCTGTACCCTTTGAACTATGGCAACACATACAAACAGTATCAACCACAAGTTATTTATGGAGTAGCTGACTTCAATGTGCCTGTCCTTTTTTTCTTTTTTTTTTTTCATTTTTTTTTTAATTGGTTTAATGGTCTTGAATTTTTTTCTTTTTGCATATTGCACTGACAAATATGAAACATATTCTCAAAATTAGACATGACTTCAAGAAGTTGTTGAGTAACTAAAGGGTGATATTGGATCAACTCTTAAAAGAAACAAAACCATTCCTGTGTATACTGCAGCAAAATAGTTTTGAGTGTTTGGTTACTTGAGAGTTTTCCATCTTGCTGTATAAATATTTAAATTTTATAATTGTGGTTGACTAATAAACTTATTGTAAAATGTCTGTATTGCTATGTTTTTACTTGTAATAGGCTTTTTCTTTAAACGGGCTCCCAATCAAGGAGCTTTTTTGATTCAGGCGTATGTTCTCATAGCTTTGCTTTTGTGAAGTGCCATTCTGGGTGCAGTTGTGTATTATATTTTTGTGCCACATGCTGTGCTCTGACTTTTTTCCTGGGCGTGTTGAAGGTCTGCAGAGATTACTAGAGTCGTTGGCTTTCAAATTATCTTGTAATTCTTTTCCAGTGATTGAATAACTCACTTAGGTTGTTTTGAAGAGGTAGTACCGAGTTAAAAGCTTAGGTTGATGTCGGTGCAGGAACCTCACTGCTGCGGATCAGCACGCTGGCTTGGACTCAAGCTGTGGCTGGTGTGAGACAGGCAGGAGGATAAAACTGGAGAATGACTCCATGGCATTGGTAGGGAGCAGCGTTACTGTACAGGAGGCAACTGCTGAACTTGTTCTGCAGATCCCGGGGGCAGGAAGGATGAAGGTGGCCTCAGTGTGCTTCAGGGGGGCTTACGCTGATTCCTGGACTAGACCCTTAGGATAGGGCAATGGAGAAGGCAACCTGTGTCCTTCCAGAGCAAGTGCAAGGTCCTGTCATTTTTACTTGTATTCAGAAAACTTGATTTTCTCAGACACACCACATTTGTTGATTTGTCTCAGGAATCTAGTTTTCGTTCACCACAACACCGTGAGAGGCAATGATGGTGTTATGAGTGCTTGTTGATGGTGCATGAAGGGAGGGTGCTGCAGGAACAGAACTCTGTATTTACTAAACTCAGGTTTAGTAAAAGCAGGTAAAGCAGGTCCTTAGACCTTTTTACCAAAAAGCTAATTTTTATACAGCCGCGCCATACTCTGTATGCTTGTATTTTTGAGGGGCTGTGCCACGGCCGGGTTCAGCAGGGCCGGGCCGGCTGATCACACCTCGCTGGCAACCCACCTCAGCGGCGACGCGGTGGCGCAGGGGCTGCCGCCACTCCCGTGAAAGGCCCCGCAGGGATTCGCCCCTCGCCGGCCCGTAACCAAATACCTGAAACAACCCATTTCATCCTTCCCCTTCCCAAAACCGCCCCCGCCGCCTCACAGCCTAACGGACGGCGGGGCGGGGAGGGACAGCGCGCCCCTCGCCCAATCAGCGCCCCTCTCCGCTGCCCCCTCCCCAAACTCCGCCCCACCGGCCAATCACCGCCTCTGGCTGGCGCT